CAAAATGGCAGCTTCAGCGTACGCTTTTGGGTGACGCCCTCTCTAGTCAGAGAGTAAAGCTGTCCCAGCGTTTGGATCCTTTCTAACTTTGTGACTGCTCTAAATGGGCACTGCATTACCCAGGGACAGGGCTATTTAGGGGAATAAGTAGCCAGAAAAGCTCTTCAAACCTGACATAGCTTTTATATCATGTATAGTCGGCTGTGGTAATTGAAAATGTTGAGTAGGCTGAGTTAATGCTGAACAGAACCAGCAAGGAAAGGAATTTTCAACCAGGAAGAGAGCCTGCTGTACTGCACAAAAGTCCACCATCCTCTGCCTTGATCTCACTCCTTACCCTAGTCTGTATATTACACATTTATACTATCTGATAATATTTTAACGATTTCCATGGCTTTTCCAGTCAGTGCCATTCATTGGGTACTCTCTTACTGTTGTGTTGTTATGAAGAGACTCCATAACCAAGGCAACTCTTCTAACAGGAAGCACTTAATTGGTAGCTTGCTTATAGTTGGGTTAGATCATGATCATCATGGCTAGAAGCAGACAGACATGGTGCTGAATAGAAGGGAGGAAGTGGAGAGAGAGAGAGAGAGACAGGCAGAGGAGGAGAAAGGCTGGGCTTGATCTTGGCTTTTGAAGTCACAAAATCTCTCTCCTCTCACCCCTTCCTCTCCAGCAAAACACTTCCTCCAATAATGCCATACAGTCTAATTCTTCTCAAATTTTTTGAAAAGAAAAATAACACTACAGAATGGAGATGTATCTGATTCAGCTCCATACTAAAGACCAGCTTACAATATACTGTGGAAAGTAAGATGGATAGCCCAGCTGACCCTGTTCCTTGAGGGAGAGGGTCTTAGCTAAGGTTTCTTCTAATGTTGTAATAAAACTCTTACAAGAAGCATAATTGGGAGAAAATGGTTTATTTCATCTTACAATAATAGTTCATCATGAAGGGAATTCAGGGCAGGAACTCATGGAAGGAACCCAGAGGTAGGAACTGAAGCAGAAACCATGCAGGAGTGTGGTGTATTGCCTTGTTTTGTTATACAACCCAGAGGCACCCTGGGCTGGTGGCTCTCCCGAATCAATCACTAATCAAAAACACATCTCACAAACGTGCATACTCAGACCAATCTGATAAAGGCATTTTCTCAGCTGAAGGGCCACTTCTGAACTCTAGCTTGTGTCAAGTTGACAAAATAAACAGGAAGAATGGTATGTTCATACAGTACTATTCAGTGATTGAAAAGGAAAAACTAATGACCAATTGCTGCATATAAGTGAATATTAAACTATGTTTCCAAGTGAAAGAACAATCCTGAAAATGTTATCAGTGTTTCAGCTTCAGACACAACAGCTTTGAAACAAATATGTACAGATATTTGATGCAATGAGGTTTGTGTGTGTGAGTGTAGTTTTTTCTTATGCATTAAAAATACATAAATCATGTGTATGTGTGTAGTATGTGGGTGTGTGCAGGTGTGTGTATGTGTACGGGTGTTCTTAGAGGTCAGGGGCATCAGATCTCTTAGATCTGGGTTAAATGTAGTGAGACATTGGTTGTGGCTTCTGGGAATTGAACTCCTCCGAAAGAGCAGAAAGCACTCTTAACTACTGAGCTATTTCTCTAATCTTTCTATGATTTTTTTTTACTGTATACTTTATTTTCAAACTAAGTTTTTAATGTGATGAAATCATTGAAGGTTTAAGTTAAATTTTCAAAGTAGTCAGTGTCTTATTTTTTCTTTAATGTTGATTTGTTCTCAGAGAGAGAGAGTTCAGGAGATGAAGAGCAGATCTTTTACTCAGAATCCTCTAACTAAAATATGGGGTCACCGTTGTTCTCGTTAGTACTGAAGAACACAAATACCATATGAAAGAATCTTGTCATAAAGGTGAGCCAAACACAAATTGTGACAGAATTCAAACTGGCAGGCTCAGTGGGCAGGCAAACTGTTGGTTTCCAGCACAAATGATCTGAAACAAGATTCTTGCTTGAATCTGCATTGTTAAGGAGACCTCAGAGAATGTGCAGTGTTTCGTCAGAATGCTGGCTCTGATTCTGGGCTCAGTAGCTTTTAAAGGGGCTGACCTACAGGGTATATTTCCCCCTACACATTGATGACAGAGAGAAAATCTTCTTTGGTCCCATGGTAGGCTTCCCCAAACCTGTAGCTCAGGGCTCTTCTGCCCTATGTCTCTGGTGATGCTGATTACTAAGAGAGGGCCAGGGAAAGGACAAGCCAGCCACGCCTTCACTCAGAACATCCCAACTTGATTTACTTGGAATCTGAATTTTCCCTAAAAATATGGCAATGCTCATTTGCATATTTAGAGATACAGTTTGATTAGGAAGCAGTTTTGCCTGGTGAGCCTGCCACATCAAACATCACTGGTAGCACCAATTTTGTTATCCAATCTATGACCAAGTCAAAAGTGTGCAGCCCATTACAGTGTGGCTGGCTCTTAAAAGAGCCTTTGGCTTGTGAACTTGATGTGGCCGTTGGCCCGTTTTACTTGGACACTGCATATCTGTAGATGACCTTCTCAGTCTTGAACACGAGGTACTGGGCCAGGCAGGAAGCTGTGTCCATCTTCCCCACCATTGCAGGCAGAGGCTTGCCGAATCGTATTAGACACATGTTCCGCCATACAATGCAGAGTTGCTGATGGGCCGAGCTTGGTATCCCAGTAAGGCCCCTTTCAATGAGATCCAGACTCTGACGGGCCTTTTGTGGGTGTCCCCTGTGCTTCCCGGCTCTACTGAGTGCCAGCAGCCTTCGGGAGCACTTGGTGGCAAGCCTGGCACAGCTTGAAAGAGCTGTAGAAGGACAGCAAAAGGTGAGTAGAATCTGAGCTGGAGAGAGATGTGAGGTTTACAGTCACCAAGCTCACAGGACCAGCTGCAGGTATGCAAATGAGGTAGTACTGATCTGATCCTTGGGTTGCTAAGAGACTAACAGTGTCTACTAAGCCACAAATCTGGGCTTAGCATCATCGTGGGCCTGAAATGTGCCTTAACAGTTAAACAGTCACCCATTTTCTATTTTCCATATAACAGCTACATCCATGGGGAAGTGAGCAAAGACATGTGCCCAAGCTAATCGTGAGGGGCCCACGGACTTGTGCCGCGTTCAGCAAAATAAGTTATTTTCCGGGGTGCCTGAGCCTTTGAGATCACAGAGGAGTGAGATCCAGAGCTGGCCTGCAAGACACTCAGCCATAAGAAGATGGCCACCTTATCTGTTTATATTCAGCTGTCAGAAATGAGGACATGCTCAAGCTGTTTGGGAGGAGAGACCATTGCTTAGGAATGTGGCCCTCTCCGATATGCAAATATAAATCCATCAGTGCAAAGTTCCGAGCAAATGGACACCTCCCACATGGCAAAGGCCACCGAGTGATCTGGACGTGGTGGATAAAGCGAAGCGAAATCTGGTCAGAACCGCTTGCCCTTCTCACAAAGAACATAGCTGGGTTGCAGGATCACAGAGAATTTGATTGAAACATAGATCATAAGTTTAAGAGATCATTGTTTTCACACAGTAACATGACTGTGGGGAGAATTTAGTATTCGTGGTGGGAACATCTGAAGTAATTTTCTTTCCAGTGATCAGTGATTCGAGGTTGTAATTTATGATCATGAATAGTACTGGGTGAGGCAGGTAAAACTGGTCAGAGCAGACCCCGGTAGTGATGTTATTATTGAGGAAAGTAACAGGTCTAGATTGGACGTCATTGTGCCAGCCTATATAGTATGAAGGTGTGGGATTCCCTTTAGTGGCTTCCTGGTATCTAAGGGTAAAATATTAGCAAAGAATTGGATTAGAAATGAAATGAAATTTTAACTTATTTTTGGAGAGT